TGGACTTGTGATGTACTTGTGACTGGACTTGTGATGTACTTGTGACTGGACTTGTGATGTACTTGTGACTGGACTTGTGATGTACTTGTGACTGGACTTGTGATGTACTTGTGACTGGACTTGTGACTGGACTTGTGATGTACTTGTGACTGGACTTGTGATGTTCTTGTGACTGGACTTGTGATGTATTTGTGATTTAACTTGTGATGTACTTGTGACTGGACTTGTGATGTACTTGTGACTGGACTTGTGATGTACTTGTGACTGGACTTGTGATGTACTTGTGACTGGACTTGTCATGTACTTGTGACTAGACTTGTGATGTACTTGTGACTGGACTTGTGATGCACTTGTGACTAGACTTGTGACGTACTTGTGACTGGACTTGTGATGATCCATCATGAGTACCTCGACCACAAGCACAGACAACGATCTTACCTGAGTGAATACCGATTCGGAGTTTGAGTTTCTCCTCTTGTTTGTGCGGCACGATGAAACTACTAACGCCCTCCAGGAGATGCCATGCAGTGGAGGCGATCATACCGGCATGACGGTTGCCATTACGGAGCGGTAGGCCGGAGACCAGCATGTAGGCATCACCGATGGTTTCAACCTGAACAAGACGTTGTCATTCATTATTGGTTAATTTTGCTTTCAGATATAATAGAAAACATGTTTACATCTTTTTTTTGTCATAATGTAACTTGGAACTATTAGCTAATAGCACATTTTAACATCCTGTGATTTAAATTTTTTTGCAAGTTTGGTTTTAAAACAATCTGCTGGGTTATATGGAATATTTACCTTGTAGACGTCATAGTTGGAAATGATGGCGTCGAACAGCGTGTACAAGGCATTCAACAAGTTAACGACCTGGCAAGTTGAGAACAAGACGTTAATGGTGAAAATGCGGGGATAGGTTTGGTTTGCAGTAATTTGAGATGACAATTTGAAAAAATTTGAATACACTAAGCCGCTTTTCAATTTTGTATTTGTATATTGGTACCTATAAAACTATACATGCAACTATATTTATGCGATGAATGATGAAAAGGCGTATATGAAAAGGTGGTTTAAGAATAAATTTAGACCTTTAAGTCAAACCATTGACGAAATTGCCACACAATTGAAGCCCCAAATCTAACTGAAGAAATCTCATGCATCTCATACATGTACTTGGCCTTAAAGCTACAGTCCATCATTTGCAGCTATCCAAAAAGTAACTGATGTAATTATTGTTGAAAAACATACTCAGTTGAAAGATAGTAAGGGGACTAAACTCCCTGTGAAATTCTTCTTTCTGGCAAGCTGTCATTTTTAAGAAATCAACAAAAGACGACCTTTCCAACGGTGTGTCTAAAGAGGCACCGTTGGAAATTTCCGTTAGTAGTTCGTTTTTTTATGCGGCAAAGTGCGCGCAAGCGTTGACACAACGCACACACGCGCGCGCGCGGTTGCTACACGACATCGTGTAGCAGCTGCAATCGGCTCAGTGAGAAGGTGTCTCAGACACTGCATTCAGGCCCAATTGAAAACATGATTCAGCAATTTTTCATTTGAAATTGAGATCCTAGAATGCTGTTTTTCTCGGAATATACAGCTGAAGCTGAGCTGAAAGTTAGTTGTTAGCACCCTTCTTAAGATTTTGAGCACGTTTGTTGCTTCAAACGAACAAAATGCACAAATTATAAATGATGGACTGTACCTTTAAGTGCATGCTTAGCCAGGCCCGATCATAAACCTATGGACTCCGTTCACGAACCCAGAGGGCGCTTTTTGACAACTTTCGAGAGCCCTAGTTGGAGAGACGCATCACGTGCATATGGCGTGAAATACGCAAGATTAATTGTTTTGCGGATTTGCACCAACCCGTAGCTTCTTCACGTGAACGTCAGCTGCAATGCGTTCGAATGTAAAAATAATAGTGTAAATAATAATAAAAGCTTCTATATAACGCTTTATACTAAAAGCTCTTTACAATTATTACCCCTGTTCATCAGAATCCCCCTCAAAAAATTTTCTCGCGACCCGAGCTGTTATGACTTTTAGCCTCGAGCCTTGCGCATCTTTTGATACCAAAAAACATAAATATCGGACCACAGGTTGCCGCGCAGCAAAAAATTTTCCAGCGCTATGCGCCATGCAAATTGAATTTTCCCGTATCAACGTGTACACAGAGTAGAATTGCCATTTGTACATATGAATAATTAATTAGCCTTAATTCCAAAACCTTTTGACCTATAGACATGAAATTTCTTGGGTATGTTTATGAAGAGTTGCTCTATGCATGTACTGAGTTTCAAAATTTTTCGTCACTCGATGGCCGAGATTTTTTTGGGGGGGGAGGAATCTGCCCCCCCCCCCCTTGAAATATGGTCAAAATAACCCGGCCCTTTTAGGGTTAAACATGACGTAACAATTGAAAAGGATGGCAGTGCGCGCGTGGTGGTCTAGGCTATAAATACTGCCGCATTTGCCTCAGAAATGTTGCTTTTTTGCAGCTTTTTCGAGAACCACTCATCCAAACAAATTCAAGCTTGGCACTGCACACTCTGGAGTCCTGAGCAATACACCCACCGATTTCCAACTTCATACGGTGCCCGGTTCTGAAGATTAATCAAAATACAGACAGACAGAGATTTCCGGAATTATAGTTAGATATACAACATTTTGCTTTTGCTGTAATTTTCAGAAATGGATGGATTGTGGAGTTAGTATTTTTCTAGCAAATATTGTTCCACTGAACTGTTTAAAGCTTTGTGTTCATAGATGCTGGGGGGAGAAAACAAGAAAAAATGCTGTTCTTGTAGTCTGGTTCCCTGACCCTACTTTATATGAACGGACCAATTTATAGATGTCAAGGAATTTTCAGGTCAGGGAACCAGACTAGCTGGCTTGTGGACTAACTAAATTTGGTGAATTAGGGTTAGTATTTTTTTTTTTTAAAGTCGACCATCGTTGGAAATGGATTCAAAAATTCCACTTTTCTTAAGAATAACATCACACCTAAATGGTTTCATAGGATGCTTGAGAGAATATTATTCACTTACAGTCAAGTTAGGTATTTCATAATAATTTGGCAGTTTTGCTTTTGGATGTTTGCAAAATGTTGTATACTACGTCTAATAATTTAATTTCATCAAGCTATAGCTAGTTTGTATATTTTCTTTGACTTACGTATCTGCCAGTTCCGAAGAATGGAGCGAGTTGAACAGTATTCTTGACGTTCCATGCCCAGTCCTTGTACACATAGGTGTTCTTGCCGGGTCTCAGAGGTTAAGATCATGACCGCCTCGTAAGCCTTAGTGGCCTTCTCGTCTTCATAGGTACCCCAGCCGAGAACTATGACAAACAAAAACCCACAAGGACAAAATACAACAACCGTACAATAAATAACGGCAGTACTGGTGTAGTTTAGAACTACAAGAGTTCGAAGTTTTGGCGATCGTGTAGCTTGAGAAACTCTAGCTTGGGAAACCCCCTAGCTGGAGTAACTCCAGCTCCAATGCTCATCAGGAATTCAACATAGAGCTGGAGCTAAAACTATGTTGTAGATACTAGATTCTAAGAGGCTTTAACAAACGGGACTCTCTGTATCTGTATCACGATAGTTGGGAAACTAGAGGAAAAAGGACCATTTTTGTGATGCAGATACAGAGAGTCCCGCTTCTATAGGTATACATGCTTGAATCGCCATCTGTACCTCTTGGGCGACTATTAATCCCTGATATCATTTTAAAAGCTTATCTGTCCAGAAATCAAATTGGAATGCGTTCTAGGGTCCTTCAGGCATATTTCCAGCAAATTTGAAGCAATTTCATTTTTTTGGCGAAAATTTTAAAAATACCCAAAAAACAGAAGGGGTTAGCCTTACCTTTTTAATGAAATTTGGTCAAATAATGACTTTTCTCCAAACTATGCAGACATTCTTTTCAAGGTAAGAAGAGCATCAATCAACATTCAAACACCCAATATTTTAACACTTTTGGGTAAAAATCATAGATTTTGAAGAAAAGCAACAACATTTTTGACTGATTTCACCTCCAACTTTTGTCAAAATATTCTTTTTAAAAGCTTATCTGTCCAGAAATCGAATGGGAGTGTGTTTTAGGTTCCTTTAGGCATCGTTCCAGCAAATTTGAAGCAATTTCATTGTTTTTTGGGCCCAAATTGAAAAAAAAACAGCAAGGGGTTAGCCTTACCTTTTTAATGAAATTTGGTCAAATAATGACTTTTCTCCAAACTATGCAGAAATTCTTTTAAAGGTAAGCGGAGCATCAATTAACATTCAAACACCCAATAATTATATTAAAGATTTTGGGCAAAAATCATCAATTTTTGGAAAAAACCATAACATTTTTGACTGATTTCACTGCAAACTTTGTCAAAGTATCCTTTTTAAAAGCTGATCTTCATAGAAATCGAATTGGAATCTTGGAACTCCGAATGTGAATAAACAAAAACAAAACAACCAAATGGCTTCGTAAAAGGATGCTGTGCATGTTAATCTTGCAAATCGAGGACGAACACATGCAATATCATCGATGCATCGAGGACAGAAACCAAATCGAGGACTCCTCGGTTTGTTGGAAAACGTGTACAAAACCAATGAGAGCTGTTGCGAAAAAAGTTCAGGTATAAACAAAGGAAAAGTGAAGAGGATCAATAGAAAATCCTCCATTTACACCAGTGTCTGATTGGGTTTTAATTGTTTGCTGTATACATTCTCACATGTTACACATCTTACTTCTATGCCAATTTATAAAAATCTGTGTGTCCAAAATTGCTAAAGCTTTATTTGGAAAAGTGAATAATACCCGAGTCCACACATTCTACTATTTGCGTTTTGCAGCTGCATGCCTCATATTGCATTAGTTAACAAGGGTACATTTAAAGTTCGTTTCTAGCCACGTTTTTTTTGTATAATAACAACGCTGATTTTGTTCTTATAAATACCATGACAATATAAATGTCATCTTTGTTACAAATTTATAAAAGCCTTGCTTCTTCTTTCAACTTTGGATTCTTGAACTAGATTATAGTTTACATAGTAATATTCGATGTTGTATACATTTCTTTTCTTTTTTGAAGTTTGAATACAAGTTAATACCAAAGTAGCGACTCTCAACAGTTTGAAATCAAAGTGTGTTTAATTGATGAAAACATTTTTTAGATTGTTTGATGTCATTTTTGTTAGAACTTCGAGGCCTACATGGTAATAGATGATAACGCGACTTCAAAATACTTCAGTCTTTGTAAATAAGTGACTTGATCAAAGTTATATTGTACAAGTGCAATTAAACCTTTTTTCTTAAAGTTGCTAAATGAAAGCTGCTCTCGTGAACAACAAAACTGTTGGTGAACACAAAACTGTGTGCTAATTTGAATTTGTTGTTAGCTTTTTCAAATAGACCTACACACACTGTGGTATGATTTCTGGCTCAGATTGATAGCTGGTTATGGTTTTTGCCTCTTTACAAATAATTGCTGATCTAAATGCTATTTAGTGGACTTTGTAACTTCCGTTGCAGATGATGTTGGGATAATGCTAGATGTTTACAAGTTTTGTTTGGGTGGTTTGATTCGGTCAATCTTGTAGCTTGGATCCTGTCCCTCAAGCCAGTACGTCAGGATTTCACCTTTGCCCTGAACAAAAATAGAAAGGCACAGGTTAGAGAATGATTGAAACAGTTATCTCTTGTTTCCTTTGAAATATGATGGAATTGAGAGTTTGCATCAGTGAAAACTAAAGGTAGGGTAGATCATTTGTCATTTGTGCATTTTTGTTTGTTTGAAGCAACAAAAGTGCTCAATATCTCAAGACGGTTACGTAACAACTTGATGAAGATTTAGCTCTGTGAATGCCGTGTATTCAGCAGAAACAGTATTCTAGGGTCTTGATTTCAATTCAAAAGTTGCCGAGTCATACTTTGAATTGTGCCAAAATCAGCATCTGACACACGTTCTCATTCAGTTGATTGCAGCTACAGTACCCAATGTCACGCACTGAACCAATGAATGATATGTATGCGTGCATGTGTTTGTCGTGTCAACGCTTGTGCACACCCATTCACAGATTCACCCAATTACAAACCAACTACTAATGAAAACTAAAGGTAGGGTAGATCATCGGTTGCGTAACAACTTGATGAAGATTTAGCTCTGTGAATGCTGTGTATTCAGCGGAAACAGTATTCTAGGGTCTCGGTTTCAATTCAAAAGATGCCGAGTCGTACTTTGAATTGTGCCGGAAATCAGCATCCGAGACACCTTCTCATACAGCTGATTGCAGCTACCCAATGTCACGCACTGAACCAATGAATGATATGTATGCGCACGTAGGTGTGTTCGTCGTGTCAACGCTTGCGCGCACCCATTCAAAGATTCGCCCAATTACAAACCAACTACTAATGGAAATTTCCAAAAATGTGTCACTTGACGTATCTTTGGAAATGGCCTTCTTTTATTGTGTTCTTTACAATAACAGCATGTAATGCCATAAAGAATAATTTAACAGGCAGTCCGACCAGCTGTACTAAGGGTGCTTTTTTATTTTAATTTTTGCTGTAATGTTCCTACTTGGGTCTCGATCATTTTGTGGCTAAACTCTGATGTTCTTTAAATAATGGGCTCTTCATGTGTCAGAGATGCCACCAATATATCAATAAAAAGCCTGAAACACTACTAAAAACCTGAAACTACCCTTACCCCCTTTCACAAGTGTGTTTTCTGGATGTTTCAGACCAAATCCAGCACTTTCAATTTGTCACATTATAAAAAAGACCCTGATTTCAGGTTAAAACCTAAAAAAGTGGCATCTCTGTTGTGTCCAGGATTTAAGCCAAGCCACCTTACCCATACCTATTGTTTCTACTACAACCAGTAACAGTCGCTCCAATAGTACGCACGCCAGAAACGTTGGGTATATATTTCCTGATTTTTAGCTTTATATCACATTAACACATCCTCGTTTTCAGTTCTTATTTTTAACCCTCCTTTTTCCATTTTCATAACTTTCAAAGTATAAAATAGTATTTGTAGGCATCTTAACATGTATCCATGCATCAGGAGTTATAAAAACACATGCAGTGGTGATATTTGTGCAATGTCCGTTTTGTGCTTCCGTAGACAGAGTGAGGTTGCCTGTTTGAACTGTGAACTTGAATCAATAGCATTTTCAGTGCTTGTTTGTATGTTCGTATGTGGGCCTATATTGAACTTGAATAAAGACCATGATCGTAGTGCTGCTTTGTTATGGTACTGTGTGAGACAAATAGCGACTGGTTTGTCTTGTGTTGGGTAAAGGAATTTAGCTGTTGTTGCACCATTCATTGCATGAGGATAAAGTATAGGCCTGACATGTACACATTATAAGCCTAAGGCATATAACTTACAAGTTGATGGTAGTTTTGCCATACTTTTTTTTTACATTTGGCAAAGTATTATGTTTGTGGTGGAAAACTTCAGCTAACTGTTGATCCAGTTGAAGTAGGTGAGTTCATTACATACAGCATTTTTGCTGGATTTTGCACGAGTCTTTTCTTTTCGTGCATTCGCTTTGTTTTTGAACATGTTAAATATAGCCTATAGGCCTACCAGGAAAATTATGCATGAGATTTGAAGGAACGTTTAGCATTTCAGTCAATGTGATGAGTGAGTAGGTGGTGTTCCTTCCCACCAATGTTTGAAATAAACGTGAGGCTTTTTAGAGAAAAACATATTGAATTCTCTTTTCTGAATCGAAGTCTGAAATCTAAGTCTATATCTAAGGTCATGTTTTACATTAGGGCCTATACTCCCATTTTATTATTTCCAACCCCCAATGAGTAAGCATGCAGTCAATATATAAAAATGAATCTCCTGTTACATTGAGATTTCCAGGCTGGTACGGTGTGCAGTAAAAGAAATGGGGGCAAAGGGGTGTGCACTTACGGGCAGTAAAGGAACCTGGTACACTATTGAAAAAAATACGGGTACCCAGGTACCCGTTAAAGAAACCCAAGCCAAACATTCATATCTGGGAAGTTGCTGTTCAGATTGTTCATAAAGGTCTGCATGATAATACTACCACATCGGTGCAGCAATATGGCTAGATAGGGTGTATACAGTGAGCTCTTTAGCTATGTGGTGAAAACTGCAACTTTCGCAAGCATCATAATTCATAAAATATAAAATTAGTTTTGGTTTTCCATGAATCCTGTTCTTTATTTTGAAATGTTCCCACTGACAGTCAAAACACTATTTCATTGACTGAAAAGTTACCAAGTAATTTGCAAAGTTGGTTATAGGTACTCGATTCCATAATCTGGAACTGGTTCCTGACATTAACGGTCGGGTACTCGGGTACCCGGCTCCGATGCACAGCTCTATGGGGCAATCACCTGTTTGTTATAATTTTGAACTTTTTCAGACACGTGTTTGTTCTGTTTTGATTAGGTCACATCTGAAATATGGCGGAGGCTGCAGCCAAAACTGTCTTGGACAAGATCAGCCAGGGGCATCTAGAATGTCCGATCTGTTGCTGTCTTTTCAAGGATCCCAAGATGCTGGACTGTCTGCACAGCTTCTGCTTGAAGTGTCTGGAAGAGATGATGAGCAAACAGAAGCCAGACACGGAGAAGATAACATGTCCAGTCTGCAGGAAAGAGACGCAAGTTCCGGATGGAGGATTGCATAGTCTATCTTCATCTTTCTTTCTTAGTTCTCTTGTCGATGAGGTCAAACAACAGGAGGCGGTATTAGGAGAAGCATCGATACCTACCGCCACATGTGACTGTGGAAAAGGCAAGGAGGCCACTTGGAGGTGTCTTGATTGTAGTGATAACTTCTGCCAAGAATGCTGGAAAGTCCATGGGAGGTTCAAGTACACCAAAGACCATCAAATCATTTCACTGGGATATTGGCAGGAATCAAAGATGCCACCAGCAGAACATAGCAAACCCATCACCCGAATGTGTACGATCCACACTGACCATCCTCTGTGTTTCTACTGTGACACCTGCGACACCTTGATCTGCTCAATGTGTGTCGCATTAGATCATCGGTCAGCAGAGCACAATTTCCTAAAGATTGATGACCTGATCAGGTCCTTCCGCAGTGAGGTCGACAACATACTGCAGAAGTTCGAGAAGAGCAGGCAGCACTTCAAATCTACTGAAAAGTCAATCGAACATGCACGAAATAGATTGCAAAAGAAACTGGCTCAGGCTCATAGTGATATTGATGCAAAAGCGGAGGCAGAGATCACTAAAATCAGAAACAAAGCAAAGCTTCTCACCGACAAGGTCAACGAAATCGGTCAGGAGAGAGACAGTGAGTACGAAAAGGTGCTCACGAACAACCGTGAACAGATGGAACGCGCAGATCACACCATCGCGGCCGTAAATGACTTGATGAGTCAAGCCGATGATTTAGAGCTTTTGGAGCTCAAGCCGAAGGTGATGCACAACTTGGAATTCCAGAAGGAGCTCAAGTGTGAACTGACGAATCATGGTCCGTCATTCATTTGTGTCAGATGTCACGATGTTGTGAGTGATGCAGAGCTTGGGGAGGTCTGCGTCAGCGAGAAATGGCAGTTAAAGGAAGAGTTCGGCAAAGAAGGTACCGGTGATGGGGAATTCGACTGGGCCAGGGCTGTTGCATGTTTCACTAACAGGGACATCGTAGTAACTGACAGAGGTTTGGAACGGTTATCATTGTTTAGCTCAACTGGGAGGTATAAAACATCGGTTGCTAAAGGAGATGCTAGGCATCAGTTGGAAGCTCCTTTTGGTGTTGCCGTTACCCATGATGATCTGCTCTTTGTTACAGACAAAAAGAAAGTGAAGGTTTTTGACAATGAGCTCCACTTTGTTCGCGAGTTTACACCTTCGGTTGACGATGCCGATGGGCGATCAAAGAGTAACCTCCGTGCTGTTGCTGTTGACAGTCAACGAGTAGCAGTCGCTGACAAGGGGAGAAAGGTCATCAGTGTCCACAACCTGGACGGATCGTTGATTGCAAGCATCTCAAATAACATGGCTGACCAAGACTTGGCAATAAGCAATTTTGGCTGTTTAGTCTTCACAAACTATGAGGGCCAAAGTTTGCTGTGCGTTAACTTTAAAGGTAAAGAGATGTTCAGTGTCAAGACATTTGTGAATGGAGAAGCCGCAAAGCCAACTGGTGTCCTGTGCGATGATGATGAGACCATCTATGTTGTTGTTCATTACAGAGCTAGGGGCAGCTGTGAAGTGCAGCGTTACAATTCAAATGGTGCATTCGTAGCAACAGTTGCTGAAGGGTTGTACAATCCGTTAGGAATGGCATTCACACCTGCTGGCGACATAGTTGTCGCTGACCGACACTCCGTTAAGATCTTTGAGCGGATGTGATTTGCCTGATCATGGCCCTCTGAAAAACTAACCGCTGTACTTGAACCGGGGCTAACCTTTATCCAATGATTTGCCTTACACATTACACAAAGTACGCACGGGGTAGGCGACAAACTTTAATGAGCTATGATATCATCACTTCATTTACATACAACCAATTACAGGGCCCAGTGGTTTGGGAAGTAATAAACAATCATTCAGTGATCACGCGGCGACCTGATTTAACCGCGTGCATACGCAGTAAACAAATGACATATTAGCCAATCGGCATGC